TTTTGAGACAGGGTTTCTCTGTGTAGTTTTGGTAGCTGTCCTGGATCTCCCTTTGTAGACCAGGCTGGCCTCGAACTCACAAAGATCCGCCTGGCTCTGCCTCCCGAGTGCTGGGATTAAAGGCTTACGCCACCACCGCCTGGCTTTGTTTTGTTGTTTTAAGACAGAGTTTCTCTGTGTTACAGCCCTGGCTGTCCTGAAACTCACTCGGTAGACCAGGATGGCCTCGAACTCACGGAGGTCTATCTACCCTCCTCTGCCTCCCAAGTGCTGGGATTAAAGGCGTGCGCCACTATGGCCAGCTGAAAACTTTCATATTTCTAAGAGATCAGAATAATCAGTTTTAGAAACCAAGGGTTTAACCTTGTTGTCAGATTAAATTTTAATCCTCCAGTATGTAAGCAGAGATCATAGTTAAAAGGCATTTACAGGTGATTTTCTTGCTATTGTGAGTCACATGTGAGGCTTGGTCTCTAATGCCATTGCTACCTGTAGCTTACAACATCTCATACAAACTCTCTTGTGAAAATTCCTTTTCAGATGTCAGTCCTTTCGTACCTGGAGTTAGTCATCGAGGTGATATCCATTGCCGGCACCAGGGCGTTAATATAACCGACACGGGGCTTGAAGGGCTTCTGTTTGGGATGCTAGATCGAGAGACAGACCGGAAACTGTGCTCTGATATTCATGACACCTTGGGACACATGCTGTCTTCACTGGCAGTTGAAAAGCTTTCCCACTGGCTAATGCTTTGTAAAGATGTCTTGGCAGCTTCCAGTGGTACGTATTTAAATGATGTCCTTAAAATAATGAAAGTCATCTTGGTTCTGATATATAAGCATAGATATGAGCCTACTCTTTAAGGTATTGATAACTCTCATCCACAAATCCCTGGAAAATGTTGAAGGTTAAAATCATACTATAAACGAATATGCTTTTGAAATATATTTTAAACTTTTTGAAAGTTCAGCTCAAATTTTTATGTCTTAAAAATCCCAGGTTACTCTGTAGTACGACGTAGCATATAATTTATTTAATATGCAAATGAGATGTACATAAGATTAATTAATGCAATGTCTTCCTTGGTTTTCAATTCAGAAGAAGCTTGTCAGTTCTCTTTTTCAGAGATTGAGAATTGACCGTCTTCTGAAGCATCATGACGGGACGAGTCATGGTGGTCTCCGTTTCTGTTGTAGATATGAGTACGGCAACACTCTTAAGCAGTGGAAAAGACGAAGAATCTGAAAAGAAAGATGAGATGGATGACGATACCATGTTCACTACCCTGGGGGAGGAAGACAAATCAAAGCCCTTCGTAGCTCCCCGCTGGGCCACACGGGTGTTCGCTGCAGACTGCTTGTGCCGCATCATCAACCTGTGTGAGAATGCCGACCAGGCTCACTTCGACCTTGCCATGGCGCGTTCTGCTAAACTGCGCAACCCTAAGAGTAAGTGCAAAACCACGTCTTCTTTTCTCCGATAGGTTTGAGAGCTTTCAGCCCTCTGCAGCACGCTTTAGGCTGCACCATTGATTTATTCCAAGTCGCCTCACCTTGACCCTCAGTGTCTATCCCTGGGTACCACTTGTTTGTGTTTAGAAATAAGCTGGAGATGGGTATAGATAGGTTAGTGCATGGACATCTAGATATCCGTGTATATGAATTTTAATCATTCACCCATATTAGAATAACAACGCTCACAACTTATGTTTCCTCAGGAACAGCCCTAGGTTTAGCACTGTGTTGTAAAAGAGATAGTAGAACTCTTGGGTCCAAAGTCAAATGAACTTTGCTGCTCCCAACCAAAGAAACAGTCAGAATTCATGAATCCATGGCACATTTCAAACTCTCATATTTCACATATAGAAATATGTGAAAGTTACTGTTGGGCATCTTTGAAAAGGAAAAATGATAGTATTACTGAAAATGACTTTTTAAAAAACTTTTTATGCCGGGCGGTGGTGGCTCAGGCCTTTAATCCCAGCACTCGGGAGGCAGAGGCAGGCAGATCTCTGTGAGTTCGAGGCCAGCCTGGTCTCCAAAGTGAGTTCCA